CTACTAATCCTAATATTAGTTCTGAACAATCGTTACCACTAATTTTCCAATCCTAATCCTTATCAAATCAATAACACCCCCAAACTGAAACCTCATAAGAATAAGAATAGAAAATAAACAACAAAATTACTTTACTCAAACAATTTCAGAGCAACAAACAATCAATACGGCTTAAAACAAACTGTCTTTCTCCTTTTTATCCATTGATAGAACTTTTTGCAAGAAATATGAAGGGTCTTCAAATCAGACTTGGAAGCTGTTGAGGTCCGTGTAAAGTTATGACTATGCTTTGTTAGTAATATTTCTTGATGTTCAATTTAAGGGTGCATGATTTTTATTAAATCATTAATATGTCAATTGATAATAATTGTAAATTTAATTAGTTTAACTTACTCTTGTTTCATTTGCATCCTAGTGGACTAGTTGGAGGAGTTCAAATGCGCGTGGATAGTTCTTAGCCTTAAACGGAACAGATAGAGGGTAAAGAGGTAATTTGTTCTCATCATCGTAAGGTTTAGAGCCTCTTGGTTGCATACATATAGTTATGAGAGGACTCCAATTTCAAGTAGTGATTTTTTTTGATTCCATAGAGATATACATTAATTATTTTAATTGTGTTATGAAACAATTAAATGATGTGGATGTCTATTTAGTTTCCCAAAGAGATTGATACATGTATTACCTCTTGATATTCTCTATGAGTAATTAATATGATTCATGTATCATCATCTTAGTTTGTATATAAATAGAGGTATTACTACCTCACTTTGTAAGGAGAAATTGAGGAAATAAAATTCTTTCTACTTCTTGTCTACTTTCTCTATTCTACTTTATTAGTTTTACAACACGTTATCAGCACAAAACTCTACCATTGAAACAATCCATTTCAAGTCCATCGTTGGGCACATGTTCATATTTTGGGTAAACCTTTGAGGTAAATTTTTTTTTTTCAATTCAATTCATTTTTCACTATGACTAACCTTACATAACAAGAATTTTATGCCTCTTGATATTTCTGGAAAGAACTACTTATCTTGGATGTTAGATGTTGAAATACACCTTGCTGCAATGGGTCTTGAAAATACTATTGTGGAAGAAAATGAGACATCAAATCAAGACCGTGCTAAAGCTATGGTTTTCCTTCGCCATCATTTGGATGAAGGATTAAAAACTTAATATCTAACTGTGAAAGATCCACTTACTATGTGGAATAATTTGAAGGAGAGATTTGACCACCTGAAGTTGGTCGTGCTCCCAAAAGCTCGGCATGACTGGCTTCACTTAAGGCTACAAGATTTTAAATCAATCAGTGAATATAATTCTGCAATGTATAAAATTACCTCTCAATTGCAATTGTGTGGAGAAAATGTCACTGATGACGATATGTTAGAAAAAAACATTCTCCACATTTCATGCCTCGAATATGCTCCTGCAGCAGCAATATCGAGAGAGAGAGAGAGAGAGAGAGAGAGAGAGAGAGAGAGAGAGAGAGGATTTAAGAAATACTCCGAATTGATTTCATGCCTCTTATTGGCTGAACAAAATTGTTAGGAATCTTGACCCCAAGATTAGTTTCTTTTGATGATAACAAATATTATATGTTGTGTGTATTATGTGCTAACATTTGTTTTGCAGTATCAGAGCTATATCAATAATTATATTCAAAGAGATACTCAAGACATAGATGGGTTCAAGGCAAAATGAAGCAAAGAAGAAGATATACTTTATTGTCAAAATGTAATTTTATATTTTCTTTGCTTAGAAATTTGTACAAGCCTTGATCACTCACACACATGCACACACATAGTATTATAACACACTAACACATACTTAGTGTGTTGGTTAACAATAGAAATCCCATATTTTAGCCATTAGAGTTTATAGATATTAAGTTAGTCTTAAAACATTTCATTTACACCCCTTAGAAATTAGAATCTGGAAAAACTCAAAAGATCAAAGTTGTAGGTCTCTTCAAGAGCTTTCCAACAAATCTTAAATCACCTCATTTCGATATCGGATGAGAAAGTTACAGTCAAAATACTAAACAGAAAAATTTCATAATCTGAGTTTACAGTGTAGTCGACTACTATGCCTTGTAGTCGACTACTGAGCAATTTTCTGACTTCACAGAGTCTGTTTAGACTCAGTGTAGTCGACTATTATGACTTGTAGTCGACTACAAATGCAGTTTTTCCAGATTTCAGGTTTAAAATAAGTGACTGTTTATAGCTGTTTTATGGACGTTAATTGGGTTTAAAATTATGTCATTTCAGAGGCTATAAATATGTTTAAACATCAGAAAACAAGCACCAAGTTTTACACTTGCAAGATCAAACATTTTGTGCATATTCACTCTCTAATTTTCCAGATTTTCATGCTAAGTGTTTAGAAAAAGAGAGTTTCTGATATTGCCTTGGTTTCAATCATTCTTAGAGATTGTATAGACAATATTCAGAGAGTTAAAAGAATCCTAAGCCACTGCAGCACTTCACTACACATTCAAGGCTTATAGGATCAATTGTGTTCTTGCTTCAAAAAGGATTTCTCTCGGGTTTGAGAGGGTTGATCTCTTGGTTTAGAGATTGGGTGGCAATTGGCATGGTCTTGTCAATTGGTGTTGCAATTTGCATGGTCTTGCAAATTGGTCAGGTTTGCTTTTGATTTTGTAAGGTTTCAAAATCATAGTGGAAATCTCAAGCGGGATTTGCTTGGGGACTGGATGTACACCGGGTTGGTGGAACCAGTATACATGCTTGTGTTTGTGATTGTGAATTTCTGAGATTGTCATTTTTCTTTGCAATTTATAATCTACTTTGCATATATTTTAAAAGAACACTATTCACCCCTCTTCTAGTGTTCTAGTGTATCTATTTCAGATCCTACAAAAATAATGAATTATTATTGAAAAATCATGAATCCCGACCTACTAGTTCTAGCCCATTCACTGAAGCGAATGCAGCTAAATCTCAAAATCATGGTAGTGGGTGTGGACATGGTTGTGGAAGAGGCCGAGGACATAGCCGTTGTCGTGGACGATGTCGTGGCAGATATGTACCTTATAATCACAATGATCATAACCGTGGCAAAAGACAAAACAACTCCCAGAAGTGGGACAATAATGATAAGAAAAGTGAAGAAAAGAAACATTATGAGGAAATATGCTACCGGTGTGGAATAGAAGGCCATTGGTCCCGTACCTGTCGTACGACAAAACATCTTGTTGATCTCTATCAGGCATCATTAAAAGGAAAAGGCAAAAATGCCGAGACAAATTTCATTGATCAAAACAATGTTTATGATGATATTGATGATATCACACACCTCGATGTAGCTGATTTCCTTGAGCAACCTGAAGTTGCAAAATGATCTCATGACAAATACCCGACATTTTGAATTTTGTTATTTTCGCATCTTTTATGTAATTTTCTTTATGAATTTTGTAATTTATGGACTTTATTGATATTTACTTTTGTTTGTAATTTTCTTTGTCATTTCTTCCTAAAGAAGAAATGGATGCTAAATATTTGGGATCAAACAATGGTGATGATAATATTTGTCTCATTGATAGTGCTACTACACACACTATACTTAAAAACATGAAGTATTTTTCTCATTTGAAAATGGAAGAAACAAATGTTAACACAATAAGTGGTAGTGCTAAATTGATTGATGGCTCCGGAAGAGCCACTGTATTTCTCCCCGAAGGAACTAAAATTATCATAAATAATGCACTACTCTCGATAAAGTCTCAAAGAAATTTGCTAAGTTTTAAAGATATCCGCCGAAATGGATATCATATCGAGACAATGAATGAGACAAATAGTGAATACTTATTGATTACAAATATCATTTCTGAGAAGAAATGCGTATTAGAAAAGCTGTATTCTCTATCTTCTGGTTTATATTATACAAAAATAAGTGCAGCTGAAATTTATCAATTTATAGACCAGAAGTCTACTAATCCCAATGATTTTATAATTTGGCATGATCGCCTTGGACATCCTGGTTCTATAATGATGAGGCGAATAATTACAAATTCACATGGCCATTCATTAAAAAATAAAAAAAATACTAAATTCTAATGAATTCTCATGTGTTGCTTACTCCCAAGGGAAGTTAATTGTTAGACCATCACCAACGAAAGTGGGAACTGAATCTCCTGCATTTCTAGAACGAATTCATGGTGATATATGTGGGTCTGTAGATCCACCATGTGGACCATTTAGATATTTTATGGTGCTAATTGATGTATCAACAAGATGGTCACATGTATGTTTATTATCTAGTCGCAACCTGGCGTTTGCGAGATTGCTTGCTCAGATAATTAAATTGCAAGCACAATTTCCTGATTATCCCATTAAGAAAATTCGTTTAGATAATGCTGGTGAATATTCATCACATGCTTTTGATGATTATTGCATATCTATTGGAATAAGTGTTGAATATCCTGTAGCTCATGTTCATACACAAAATGGTCTAGCCGAATCATTTATTAAACGACTTTAATTAATTACAAGACCATTGTTAATGAGGTCTAAACTTCCTCTATTTGTTTGGGGACATGCTATATTACATGCAACAATACTTGTGAGAATTAGTCCGACAAGTTATCATACTTATTCTCCCTTACAATTAGTTCTTGGCGACGAGCCCAATATTTCTTATTTAAGAATTTTTGGTTGTGCGGTATATGTTCCTATTGCACCGCCTCAACGTACTAAAATGGGCCCTCAAAGAAGATTGGGGATATATGTCGGGTATGAATCACCTTCTATAATTAAATATGTTGAATCATTAACATGTGACTTATTTATTGCAAGATTTGCAGATTGTCATTTTGATGAATCACATTTCCCGACATTAGGGGGAGGTAAAGATCAACCGAAAAAGGAAATTACTTGGAAAATATCATTAGACTTTCTTGATCCTCGTACAAAAGAATATGAACTGGAAGTTCAAAGGATTATACATTTACAAAAAATTACAAACC